TTAATTGAAGAAGTACCTGGTCCATCCCAAGCTTCAGAAAATATAATCAGCCTAACAAAGATACTTGCACGCTCTCTCTCTCTCTCTCTCTCTCTCTCTCTCCACCTCTCACCCCCTCTCCCTCTCACCAGTAACTTGCACTTGCCCATTGGTTTGCCATTTTGTAGCAGCCATGCGGGTCTAGCAGTCACCTGGGGCCCGCAGCAGACCGTGCGGGTTCCAAAGGCCTGAGCTTCAATGTAGCACAGAATCTCTGGACCCTGGTCTTTGCTCTGGGCTTGATGAATACAAGGCTGAACTTTTTCCATGGCAGGATGGACAGAGATGAGACATTGGGTACCTGGGGGCAGCCTTCTATTTCCACCCAAAAGACATCTTACCATGGCACAAGCTCCCGGACATGGGTCCCTGGAGTGCTTTCGTTGTGACTCCGTGAAAGAACATGATTTCCACCAGCAAGACATCCAGGGGATAAAGCTTGTTCCAGACCTGTCTGAGTCAGTCACCCCACCCCCCTTCTCTCAGCTTCGCTCTCCTGCATGTTGGTGTCCTTCTTGGGCAACACTCTCCCGTGATGACCGACAGCAGTTCCGGGCTCCATCATCACTGCTGCAGACCCAGAAAAACATGTTCCCCCTCCCTACAGTCCTAGTCCAGGCCCAGGCTCCGGCTTCCCCTGGACCCATTTGGATTATGGCCATCCCTGAGCCAATCTCTGCACTTTTTTGATGGGTCAGGCTGTGTCATAGGCCTAGGGCTGGGGTTAGCCCTCCCTTTGCCACAGGAAGGTGAGTTAAAGATGGTGTTTTCCCTGCACCCATTTCAGGCTGTTATATGGGATGGTGGGATTGACACCAGTCAGGCCGAACCAATAGCTCCAGTATGCGAGGGGGTGCTGTGAGCCAGAGGTTGTCAGCTCACCCTCTAAGGGCAGTTCCACTTCTGAGAATTTATCCCCAGCAGATAACTGGGCAGGCATGCTATGTATCTCTATCTCTATCTCTATCTCTATCTCTATCTCTATCTCTATCTCTATCTCTATCTCTCTCTCTCTCTCTCTCTCTATCTATCTATCTCTATCTCTATCTCTACCTCTCTCTATATATATATACATATATATCTATATCTCTATATCATTTCTATATCTCTATCTATCAATCATCGATCTCTCTCTGTATATATATTTATTTATAAGATGCTCATTGAAATGTTGCTTATCATAGTGAGAAGCTGAAAAGTCTTTAAAGTTTAAATAAATTATTGACGTCCAAATACTATGCAACCATCAAAATGATGATGTGAGTCTGTAATCATTAATTTTGAGATGTCCAGACATATTGGTGAATGAAAACACAGGTTACAGAAATCATTTGTGGCAAGGTTACAATTTTGAAAAGGTATTTATCTTTTTTATTCTACATGAAGAGAGATGCTCAATAGTTTTCTAAATATTGTATTAGCAGTGTTGGACTGCGTGGTGGACTTTGGGTAATTTTTTACAAGCTTATTACTTTCCTGAATTTTTACCACGAACATGTCTATTTCTATAATTGGAAAAAGTACAATTATTTATTCTTTTCAAAGCGAATTCTAATGTAATCTAAGAGTCTCGGCATGGGGCACCCTGCTTTGGCCTTTGGAATCTGTATGTTCTCAAGGAGCAGGTTGGCCCGCGGAGGCTGAGGGGTGGCCCCAATGTCCGGTCCTCGTCATGGTTCCAGTGGTTCTGTGCTCGTGGTGTTTGGGTGAGGCGTCTCAGTGTTGCGGGACATCCTCTGATTTTCCCAACAGTCTTTGGGCGCTGTTCGTCTGAATGCCTAGGACAGTAAATCTTTGACCAGTGTCGGTCTCCCTCCGCCACCCCTTCTCCGTGTCCCCCGGGGCACAGCCCGTCTCCTGCTCCCCCGGCTGGTGCACGCGCCCAGCTTATCAGCACCAGAAGCAGCCCGAGCGTCTGGAGGTCGAGAGCTCTCAAGTCAACTGCTTGGGGAAGAAGGACACGTTCTGCTTCCATTTCTCCCATCACTGCTGTGGAATCATTTGTCCAAACTTCCAAAGAACCTTCGTTGCTACACGCCAGTCAAACCTAAGTCAAGTTGTGGTTTAAATTCAGTAAAGCCTCTTAGAGCAGCTGAGCTCGCCTCTCAGTTGCTACATTCCAAGACTTTGCCATTTTCCAGCCTGCATTTCACACAAGGTTATTAAAGGAAGCGCTCATGAATTTTGAGATAAACGTTGAAGGTACAGTGGTGTTTACCTTGAGTCTCAGCACGAGGCAAACGTGCCCGGCGTGTCCCTGTACTCCACCACTTAGAGCCCTCTTACTTGTACTTTCTCACCTTGAACAGAGGGGAGGGTCACGTGGGTGTACTTTCCAGCCGGGCTGTTTGGGCACCCGCAGTCTTAGCAGAGACAATCCCTAACATCTGTGGAGTGCATTCCCCACACGCTGCCAGGGCGGTTTCACTCAGCTGCTAAGGCCCGGTCTTAGCAACTTACTGCCCTGCTTAGCGACCTTTGAAGAGTCTCCATTGCTTTTGTGGTCAAGTCCAAACTCCTTAGCCAGCGTTTCAAGGGCTTCCCCATTTAACCCCAACCTCCCTCTCCTTTCCTCCCCCCTCCCCTTGCTGAGGGCACAGCGGGTTCCTGGGGTGCTGTTGCCCCTGCTTCACAGACCACATTCTCTCTGTGAGGCCCAAGGCTCAGTCCCCACTGGTACCGGAACCAGCTCTGCTGTCTCTTAAGGCCCATATTCTTTTTACTTAACCCATGCTAACTGTTAGCTAACCTAAGTTAACATCTTGTTTCAGGCTCCCCAGGCCTTGCTTTCCTACATTCAGTCCACAGCAGGACCCAGGCACCCCCTCTGCTCGCCCCCTTTCTCAGAGCAGCCTCTTCGTTCATCTCGCCCCGTCTCGGGCCAGCTCCCTCTCATCTGTTTTCCCAGTAAACCTGAAATTCTGCCAAAGCCAGTCTGCTTATGGTACTGGTTACCACACAGAAGCTTTTCATTTTCACACAGACAGCTATGTCTGTGTTTCCTCTACAGCTTCGAGGTTTTTAGACTTATGATGGGTGTCTCAGCAGGACTTCCCTGCCCCGAGACTTCTAAGGCAAATGAGGAGCCAGGGGTTAAGTCTACGATGTTTAAGAGTTTGTACCCAGCAACAGAGCAAGACAACTTCAGAAAAAGGGGCAATAGGTCTTCCCAAGCAATTCACAGAAGAGGAATTAAGCTAATAAACACATGAAAGGAAACCCCTGATCACCAGGGGTCAAAGAAACAAGGCGATGTCACTCTGCAGCCCTCAGAGCAGAAGAAAAAGGACAGTGACCACGCTCACTGCTGGCAGGGGGCAGGGAGAAGGACATTCTCAGAAATTGCTCATTCAGGTGGGAATTTCTCCAGCCTTTCTGGAAAGTATTCTGATAACATTTTAAAAGTGAGAACTGCAATACTGTTTGTTCCGATTTTCCATCCCCGGGGATCTAATTTCCAGCACAAAACCACACGTGTTAAGGACCCATGGACCAGAGTGTCTTCTGCTGTTACGGTTGGAATAGCAGAAGCCTGGAAACGGGGTGACTGCTCATCTCTAGAGTTTTTGATTTTCTTATGAAACACCCACGTCATAGTAAAATGTGACCCCATGGGCAATGTGAAGTGTAGCTCAATTAACCTGGAAGCATTTGTATGAGGAGACTTGAGTGAGGAAACCAAGGTGCAGAAACATGTGATATGATCCTGTTTTGTGAATGTTTCCACACAAACACATCACACAGAGCCCTTTAGAGTTTGTGTGACGTGTGTGTTAGTGTGAGTGTGTGTGTGTGTGTACATGGCTATGTGAACACAGAGAAAACTGCCTGAGGACCCACACTAGGGTATTAACATGGTTTAGGAGATGCAGGCGTTGCCAATGCCAGAGAATAGGAAAAAAAGAAGGGAGCAAGCCAAGCAGCAAAGACAAAGGAGAAAAGGTTAATAATACACTGTAACAAAGTCATATCAGCATGCATGATGTGATCCTACTTGTGAACTTTTATATATTATATACGCGTGTGTGTATTACAAAATCTGAAAAATTTAGAAATGCAAATCTAATCAGTTCCTTCTTCCTATAACTTGTCAGTGGCTCTCTGTGACCCTGTGGATCAATCCAGATTCTTCACTGTGGGCTCTGGAAGGCCCTGCTTAGCTCTCCACCCTCCCATAGAACAGCTCCCGTCCTCTGTGTCAGGGGCACACATCTCCTGAGGAACCCCCAGCCTCGGCCCCGCAGCCCCCCGGTGCCAAGGGCATTCCTCAGCTCCTCACATCTGCTGTTCTTCTCTGCCAAGGGCATTCCTTCTTCCTACTCTCCTGGATGACTCTTACTCCTTTTTATAGGTCTCTGCTAAAACACTGGTTTCTTGGGATTTTTCCTAAGCCTCAAACATTGATGTGTATTCCCAATGGTTCTTTGTCCTTACTAATATTCTATTTCATTATTAGCTTTTTTCCCCCACATTTTCCCAGTTGTAGTTTACTGTTTACTTGTTGTATCCAGATTGGATGGAAGCCCGGAGCAGGGTCCTGAGGCTTGCACCCTGGATCTCAGAACCGTGGTGACAAGGAATCACCTCGGCAACCCTCACGCCGCTGCATGGCTCTCTCAGCCATGATGAGCCCTTCTAGTTTCTTAGGGGCAGCAGTTCATACCACCAGATGGCATCCCTAGCACTGTCCCAGATTATCTGCCACCTCACCCCCTGGGTCCCTTGGCTGCCCAGGGCTTCCCACCTGCTCTGCTCCTGTCTCCTGGAGAGGAGTCCCTGGGCCCAGGAGCCCTAGTGGCGATGGAATCGCTCCTGCCCTGTGATCGTGATCGGGCCCGAGAGGAGGCTGCAGGGAGGGTGACCTGAGACTCCAGAACAGCTGGAGCCGACATGTGCATCGCACCGGAGAACTAACCAAGCCGGGGAGTCAATGCAAGGCACACACCAGTGAGGGCACAGCAACCAAGTTTATTGAACATTATCTTGTGTTTTGCCTACTTCTAACGTTTACGAAAAAAAGCAATCCAATTCATATGAAGAGAACAAAATTTAGTTTTGTTTATTTCCAAACCATATTGCTAATAAAGTTTACTCTTTATAATCATTGCTTTACTTCTGTAAGAGGTTGCATTTTTGTCTTCACACAAAGGGGGGACAGGAAGAAAAGATTGCACGACTGTTTTCCCCAAAGACAGAGAAGAGCCCGATTCCCATCAAGATCACTGTCCCTGGTCAGCTTAGATAAAGCATTCCAATTTCAAAAGGAGAAGGAAATGTGGAAACAAATTCCACCACATGGATCTCTGAAACTGGGGGAGTGCTAATTCCACAAGCTTCATGTCCCATGGGCGGTCATCCTGTCCTCTGCAGGGAGGGATGAGTTGGATAATGACTTCCAATAGCCCAGGGGAGGATTCACATGTAAATCCTCTACACGCGGGAGAACAAACAGAGAGTCCTGTTTAGTAAGTCAGCATAATGGGGGTGTTAGTTTTATCTCCTAGGAAAGTGCCCTTGGCAGCTGGTTATCTTTGGGACGAGGCAGGCGGCTTCCAGCCCGCCGTGTTCGCCTGCTTCTGCTTCTCCTCAGGATTGTCCAGCATCCGTAGTCTCTCCTCCAGTCTCCGCTTCCATTCTTCTCTGAGCCTGGGGAGGAGACACAGCGGCTTAGAGCGTTTCCTTCACACCCGCTGCTGCAGACGGTATTCTGCCTTCTAGTATTACGAGAGAAACACATGCCTTTCACAAATTAGTAAGAAAAAAATGAATAGACAAATGAGCAAAGTCTCTGACTATATCATGTCCCCCCGAAGTTTATTCCTTCCTAAATTGATATGTGGACTCAAAGTAATCTCAGTCAAAATCCCAGCAGGAACTGTTTTGCAGAGCAGAATAAGCTGATTCTAATGAGGTATCACCTCACACCTGTCAGAATGGCCGCCATCAACAAATCATCAAACAACAAGTGTTGGCGAGGGTGTGGAGAAAAGGGGACTCTAGTACACTGTTGGTGGGAATGCAGACTGGTGCAGCCACTATGGAAAACAATATGGTGTCACCTCAAAAAATTAAAAATTGAACTCCCATTTGACCCAGTGATCCCACTTCTAGGAATATACCCTAAGAAGCCTGAAACACCAATCAGAAAGAATATATGTACCCCCATCTTTGTAGCAGCACTATTTACAATCGCTAAGATCTGGAAACAGCCCAAGTGCCCATCAGTAGACGAATGGATTAAAAAGCTGTGGTACATATACACAATGGAGTACTACGCAGCGGTAAGAAAGAAAGATCTCTTATCCTTTGAGACTACATGGAGGGACTTGGAAAGTATCATCCTAAGTGAAACAAGCCAAGCAGAGAAAGACAAATTTCATATGATCTCACTGATTTCTGGAATATAATGAACATAACAGTTTGAGGACAATCCCCTAAGGAGTGGGGAGCTGAGAGAGGGATGAACAACAGACTTTATATGCATGTAGGCATGAACAGAGGACATGGACAACAATCGGGGGAAGGGGCAGGGAGGGAAGGGGGAGGGGGGAATCACTGGGGGAAAAAAGGAGAATCATTTGTAACAAAAATTAATCAATAAAAAAAAAAAAAGAATAAGCTGATTCTAAGTTTTATATGGAAAAGCAGAAGAAATAGATTAGTGAAACCAATTTTGAAGAAGAAAATTGGAGAACTCACACTACGTGATTTTGAAACGTAATTTAAGGCAACCACCATCAAGACAGTGTGATGTTGGTGAAGAGCTGTTCCAAACAGATCAACGCAATGTCTGAGATTCCAGGAATGAATACACACAAATGTGGCCAACTGGTGTTGACAAAGGGCAAAGACAGCTCCGTGGAGGAAGCCATGTTCACACACACACACACACACACACACACACCCCAAATGGGGCTAGGGCATCATACACCCAAATTCAAAAGAAAAGATGGACTTTGATCCCTATCCCACATCTTATACAAAAGTAATCATAGATCTAATATAAAATGTAAGTCTACGACTACTAGGGAAAAACCCCACGAGATGATGCCTTCATTATTTCCCTTGGGCTAAGGGAAGAAGTCTTAGACACCACACGGAAGGCAGGATTCGCGCGCCCACCAGGCAGGCAGCGGGTCTGACTGGCAGGCTCTCCAGCTTCCCGAGCTTCACCCTCCCTGCTCCGTCCCGCTCAGGCCGCCCACCAGGGTCGCGGGGGCTGCAGATGGTCCGCGAGCAGCTGCTGAACAGGGGACTCGCTACACCAACCTCTGGAACACTGGCGAGGGCGCCTACCACATGGTGTGCTCTGCTTATAGTAATGTCAACAAAGTTCCAGCAGCAGCAAGAAAACCAGTCCTTTTGAGCACCAGACTACTGCCAGAGAACCCGAGGTTCAGACACAAGAACATTGTTTGAATCAATGATACTGTTCCAGACCCAACCATGGAGCAAATGAAAGATGTATGTGTAGTACAGGGTCTCATAAAACAGATCTCTACAGGCTGTTGGAGACACAGCGCCTCAGCAACGACCACATCTGCCCTTTTCTTTACCAGATCCTCAGAGGGTTAAAATATATCCATTCAGCCACCGTACTGCTCCAACCTCAAACCTTCCAGCCTGCTGCCCAATACCCCCTGCAACCTCAAGATCTGTGATCTTGGCTTGGCCCACATCGCAGATCCAGACCATGATCACACCGGGTTCCTGACAGAGTATGTAGCCACACGTTGCTACAGGGCTCCAGAAATTATGCTGAATCCCAAGGGCTATACCAAGTCCACTGATATTTGGTCTGTGGGCTGGCTGCAACCTGGCAGAGATGTTCTCCAATAAGCCCATCTTCCCAGGAAGGTGTGCTCTGGACCAGTTGAACCACATTCCGGGTATTCTTGGATCCCCATCGCAGGAAGTCCTGAATTGCATCATCAGTTTAAAAGCTAGAAACGATTTGCTTTCTCTCCCCCACAAAAATAAGATACCATGGAACAGGCTGACCCCAAATGCTGACCCCAGAGTTCTGGGTTTACCAGACAAAATGTTGACCTTCAACCCTCACAAGAGGATTGACACAGGCCAGGCGCTGGCCCACCTGTATTGGGGGCAGTATTATGACCCAAGTGACAAGCCCATCGCTGAGGCACCATTCAAGTTTGACATGGGAGTAGATGACTTGCCTAAGGAGAAGTTCAAATAACTTTTATCCTTACCCGAGGACATTTTTTGTTTCACATTTATCTTCAGATAGAGCGGGAGGGAGAGAGGGAAGAAGAGAGAGAAACATCGATGTGAGAGAGACACACCGACTGGTTGCCACCCGCACGACCCCAACCAGGGCCAGGGACAAACTGCAACCGAGGTATGTATGTGCTCTTAGCGGGACCCAAACCTGGGCCTCTCCAGTGCGTGGGTCAACACTCTAATCACTGAGCCAAATTGGCCAGGGCTCAAAGATCCCATTTTTGAAGAGATTGCTAGCTTCCAGCCAGGATATCGATCTTAAATTTGTCAGGACAAGGGATCGGAGGACTGGACGTGCTCAGACATGAGAGTTCTTCTTCCCAGTTCTTGACCCTGATCCTGTCCCGGCCTTTTCACCTTGACTCCTTTGAGCTGTCCGGAGGAGTGGTTTCTGGTAGTGGTGGCTTTTATGTTTTCAAAGAATTCCTTCAGTCTAGAGAACTGTTCCTGGCACCTCTGTGTGTGTCACTGGTCATGACCTGTGGCAGTGTGTACCTTCAGCCCACCTACTGCTTACCATTTTTTTAGTCACTGATGACTTCTGGTCCCCCCTCCTTAGTCCTGTCTTACATGACACCCCGCTGACATGTATAGTCAGTCACACCAGAGACAATTTTGTCCAAGTTGGCTCTCGTCACTGGCATCTCACTTTGTGGTGGGGAAGGCTACTCCCCAGGGAACTCTCAGTCAGTGCCAGCCCCTTATTGGCACGTCACCTTTCCACGTAATTGTTTCCCGAGAGCAGGAACTCGGGGAGACACCTGGGATGACGGCACAGCCCGCAGCAAGTGCTCCCGTCCCTGGAATCTTTGCAGGCACTTGTCAGCGTCTTTTCTCATGTCATGTTTGTCACTAACATTGAAGTTCTGTGCTATTGGCTCAGCTTTTAGAAAACGCAGTCAGTCATTCTGGTAAATAAGAGAAAGATGTACCACTCTCGGCAAGTACATCTGTAGATTTGCTGTGTTTACTGGTGCTGTTTATAAAGGCATCACTTGCCAAAATGTGTTCCATGCAGAACACAGTGTTTGCAAGACTTATGCAAGAAGCTTTAGGGGATTTAGTGAAAGATCAAAGGTCACAGCAGGGTGCTGAGGAAAGTGTCTGGAGAAGTAGCCAGCTGGCCGCCTGATGTCACTTGGGTACGTGTACCCCAAACTCCTTCCCATGGTGTGCCACAGCCAATCTAACCACAGTCAGTGCCTGAGGATTTAGCAGAGGGTAACACTGAGTCTTTAAATGAGAAGGTATACAATTTCCCTCCTACAGCATGTCAGCATCTCCAGTTCATTTTCAACCTATGATACAACAGTCTGTAATAAAGTCTTCATGAGCTCATGAACAACAATAAAAGGGAGTTAGGGCTTCAACATTTGAATTGGGGGGCATAATTCAGTTCATAACTGCCAAAGCAAAATAATATTCTATTACAGGAAAATGAACATACAGTAAAAATTTGTAAAATAGATTCAACCTTATGTTTTACTCTTGTAAATAACTCCAAACATGAGTGTAACAACACTTAATATTTTTTCCATTTATCAGTCTATTTTCTTCAGAGAGCTCCCAGAGGTGAATAACTTAGAAGGCATAAATACTTTGAAGGCTCTTGAAACCTATGCCCAAACTGGCTCCAGGACACTTCTTAGAACTCCGCTCAATTACGGGCCCAGGAGGGAATGGAGAGAACCCAAGGGGCAGCCTGTTGGTGGTGGCGGTTGCTCAGGCAGGTGAGCAACCAAGGGTGGGAGCTTAAATACTGAGAGAAGAATTGGGAACAGGGCAGGATGGCTGCACTCCTCATTCTACCTCAACTTTAAATAAAAGTAAAGGACACAGCCTGCCTGGTTTTGTTCAGTGGTTAGAGCGTCAGCCTGTGGACCAAAAAGTCACAGGTTCGATTCCGGTCAAGGGCATGTACCTCAGTTGCAGTTTGGTCCCTGGCCCATCGATGTTTTTTCTCTTTCCCTCCCTCCCTCCTACCCTATCTGAAAATCAATGAAAAAATATCCTCAGGTGAGGATTAAAAAATATATATATATATATGGACATAAACATGGTTTGCTGTTTGAAAGGGGGGATAAAACGTGGAACTGCCGCTCTCACATCAGTAGGCAGCTGCCTCACACACAGGTGTTTCCACATTTTACTAAGAAGTGATGATTTATGGAGCTTATGTGGCCTTCCATTGCTATCCACTTATGAGTAATTTTCATGGTTATATTTCTTCATTACGGTTATAAAATATTCATTCTATACTTTAGTTTTTTTTTTAAGGATTTTTTCCTTTATTGATTTTAGAGAGGGAGGGAGAGAGATAGGAACATTGATGAGGGAGAACAATGACTGCCCGCCTCCTGCATGCCCCTCATGGGGACCGGGCCCACAACCTGGGCATGTGC